TACATATATGCTATATATATTCTGTTTTTTTTTTTTTGTATTTATTTACGTCGGGATATTTAGCGTCTTGAACTGATCCTCCTGCATTTCAGTCATCATGAAGGTGCCATCCTGCAGCAACAAAACAACGCGACGCGTGCCACCTGAATATGTGAAATTAGTGAAAAGTTAAACATCATTGAATCCCTTTTATTTAATTCCAATTTTAGATACGGCCGCTTACCCGGAGATGGGAGATCCGCTTGCACCACTTCGGCGGGTATTTGTGCCTCGGTGCCGTCGCTGTCCGATGTTGTGATGTGAATTTGCGCCGTATGCGGTGTGCTGCCCGCTGGCGCCGCCTCCTGTTGCTGCTGCTGCTGCTGCAATACCGCAGCCTGATGCTGAGCCAGTTCCTCCTCTGTCATGCTGACAAGTATGTGTTCACCATCCGCATTCGCATCGCTTTGCTGGCCAACGGCAGCGACGGCCTCAGCGACAGCATTGTCTAACGTGAGCACATCCTGATCCTCACCCTCGGCGGCGGCCACATAGGCAAACTGCTGTTCGCCGTCGGGGCCCTGGGTGACGAGTATTGTCTGGCCTTCGGCATTCTTGCCGGCAACCTGATAGACGGTGCCATCCTCGCCGCGCACCAGCAACGCGGAGCCATCCTCATTGGTGAGCACCTGCTGATCCCCACCGAGCAGTGCCTGTGCGGCAGCCTCTAGCTGTTCGCGCTGCTGTTCCTGCTGTTGTTCCTGCTCCATTTGCAGCTGCGTCTCCTCCTGCCCAATTAGTTTGCCAGTGATGGGGCATAGTTGCGCCTGATGCTGATGCAGCTCCTCCTGTTCCACTTCCATCTCGATTTGCATGGGCTGTGTCTTAGCTGCCGCCGCATTTACCGTGCGTTGCCTCAGCGGGGTCAGCTGTTGCACTTTCTGGATCTGCACCTGCTGCTGCTGCTGCTGCTGCTGCTGTTGTTGCTGCAAAGCTTGTGCTTGTTGTTGACGCTGTTGGCGCACCTGGGCCGCACGCTGTGCTAGCAGATCCTCGCGTGTCATCACTTTGCGCGTCACCTTGAGATCCCCAGACTTTGATAGCTGCAAAATCTTTTGCTCTGGCGTAACAGCCTTGGCTCCGGCTACTTGTCGCTGCTGTGGCGTATTGGCGCGCGTGACCAGCATGCGTGCTCCGGCTCGGGCGGGCATTGGCGCCTGACGCAGTGGATTGGGCGCGCTGCTGCCCACGGGCCGACGTTGCAGTGAAGCCGCCTGTCCGGGTGTACGCAATAAATGCGTTCGCTGGCCAACGGTTACCGGTGAGTTGTTGCCGGACGATCGAGCAACAGCCATGCGCTTGGCAGGCGGCGCAACGCCTGCTGAGGAGGAAGTGGCGGCGGGACTCATCTTTGGAGCTGCTGGCGAAATTGCGCTGCTTTCCGATTGTTCTATGCGAAAGATGCCGCTGTTGTTGCTGACCATTTCAGTGCGGGATAAATAACGCACCGGGCACTCGAGTTTCTGACGTTTCTGAACATTGATAAGCGATCGATATATATTAAATCAGATTGAATAGTTATTTTCGGAGTGCCAAAGATAAAATGCCCTTGCATATAGTCACACAATAAGTTGTAGACAAAATATCTTGAAAGGTGAAAAGGTTTTTTTTTGTTAAGAACCGATCCATTCGGTTCTACTTTGATTATCTACTACAATGATGCTATTTGAATGGAACAGACTAACGGCTATGGCAAGCATGGACTCGACTCGGATGTTGATGCTGACCAGAAGTCATTTATACCCTCGGCAAGGGTATAACATCATCACGATAGCGATACAATATTTACAAGGAAATAAAATATATGTATGTACATCGGCATGTTATTTGTACGCACTTCACACATATATGTATATACTTATATATACATCGTTGTTTCATCGATCACTATTATGATTACTTACTGTTTGTATAGTATTGGGCATTTCGGGTTTTCTGAACATGCCGGTACTTGTGCTGTCCTCCGTGTAGATGATTTCACCCATTTTTGCATCCTTTTCGCTAAATATGGACCCAGACGAGGAGTTGCCATTGATGCGAGCCGGTGTTGTTGGCATCGATTGCATTTTGGGCTTATTCAGCTGCACGGAGCTGCCGCCGTTTTTTAAACGCTTAACTGTGTGCGACGGTATTAAATCCTCTTCGAGATCTTCCAGCTCCATTGATTCATTGGAGGCATTGAGACCAGTACCCTCGGCACTGGAATCTGTGTGATTCAATTTGCGTTTAATGGCCGTTGGCGTCGTGGCAGCTGTAGACCATTCCTGTTCCGTAGCCGACTCATCTTCGTTAGCCGAAGAGGGTGATGTGGAGCCCTCGCCTGCGCCACTCTCGTTTACCCATTGCTTGAACTGATCCATAGCTTTGGTTTTGGATGTGCGCGACGGACGAGATGCGCCAACGCCCGACGAATTGGGTGATATTGCCGATGATTCTGGACTGTGCGGAGCAGAGTCCAATTTGCCACCAGCCTGCGACGCCTGCTGTTTGTCCTGCTGCGGTTTTTCCTGTTGCATGCGCTTCAGTGCATCTAGACTCTTCTCACGCTTTAGCTTTTGCCGAGCCAGTTGCTTCTCAAACATCTGCAGAAAATAGGGCACACGCTCTAGATTGGCCATCACCTCCCAGGTGTTTTCATTGTGGGAACGATCGATCCACTTCACAAGATACTCATGCGTCTTGCGGCGTGGATTAAAGCGTTTCGCTACAATACTCTCCACAGCCTCCTCAGTGCGTTGCTCGGTTTTTGGGTCGACGCGTGTGGCAATGCGATTGCTATTCTTAACAACGCCAGTGATTGTTGTTTGCGCCGATGCGCCAGGGGGTGTGGGCGTGCCGGGTTTTGACTTGGGCCGCTCATTTTCCGTGTCCTTCAACTGTGAAGCAACTGTCGGCAATTTGCCAGCGGGAGATTCTGCATGTGCAGAAGGATAGTGTTACATTTTGCAGAAACAAGAAATAATAGAATACATATCATATAGATCAGTTTTTTAGTTCTTACTTCTTGTGGGTGAAACACTGGAGGACGTGTTATTACTATTTGCAGTGCTGTTGTTGTTGTTGTTATTGTTGTTCGGATTTACAACGGTTTTGGTGATGCGTACAGGCATATCTTGAAGTTGGCCATGTCCGATTTTGCCAAACGACTGTATTGTCCTACCGGCAACAATCCAAGGCTCGCGCACGCTCTCGTCTAGCTTGACCCAATTCTGATAGAGTGCCCAGGAATTTAAGGAGTTGCTCTCCTTCCGTGTGTGCAACTGTGTGGCCTTCCAAAGCGTAAATGCCCAGATTGTGGGCTTTGTATCCAGCGATTCCTTTAAACTCGAATTTTCTTTTTCACAGGCATCATCCTCCTTATGCGACTGAAATTCCTCGACAAAGTTAAAGGCGCGCAGACAGCGTCCACAAACAAGCACATCCATATTGGCTAATTCCTCTTGGGCAACTAAATGGGGAGTATAAAGGTTTAAATTTCTTTCCTCTTTTTTTTTTTTTTTTTCCATTGAGTTTTGACCACTTGCCTCTTATTATATTTGCGTGTTTGCCAATTTCCGTCGGTGCAATCTCCTGTGCCAACATTATACACAACACCAACGTAGTAACTAAAAAAATGTACAATTTGAATAATTTTGTGTCACAATTTAAAAACAAATAAAAACCGTAGAAAATACGCGCACAAACACACACACGCACATGCGAGCAAAAAAAAAAAGTACAGTGCCGTGGTGTGTTTATGAAACGAAGTGGCAACATTAACAACTGGCAACAAAGTGTGGTGAGTTTAAGCCGTATGTAATGGCTGCAGAGAATACAGCGCCTAGGCAGAAAAACGAGCACAAAGCGTGATGACCAAAAATGCAACGAACGCCCGCACAAAGATACACACACAAAACATAGCAAACCGGGCGCGAAAAATGCAACAGCTAAACATAAGCTCAGAGTATATGATACACATTTATGGATTTTTATCCATGTACCTACATAATAGCAAACTCCTTTATTTTATTCTTATCTTTAACTAGCCGCCATTTTTAGTCAAATAAGCCGCACATTGCATTTTCAATTGCATAGAACAAACTAATAGAATGAATACATCCACACACACACACACTAAACTCAGCTCAACAATTTTAATGTTTTATAGATGATTTAAGACATTATAATCTGTTTGCTAGGAACATTTGAAATGAAATTTGCCATGTATGGACGCTTTTTTGCAAATTTATGTATGCATTTTTCACGTTTTCTTTTGGCTATGTTTTTCTCTTTTGTATTACACACCTTCATATACAAATGTGTTATGGGAAAATATAGAGAGCAACTAGTTTGTTTTTAACAACTAATTTTAATTTAACTGTTTTTATTCTCCAACTCGCGCAACGCTGTTCACAATTGCACGCGCGCCAACTCTGAATGCCAAAAAAGTTTGTACAACTGAGCGAAGTGGCCAGTTCTGTTTTAGGGGTATGGCCAGGATGACACTTGCGTGCGCTACATTATATATGCGCATATGCAAACCTCAATGAAATTTTACAGCTGCTAGACAAGCACTGATTTAATTTTATTAGTTATATTATTCACTTAAATTTGACACGCTTAAAACTTGTAATGTGTCAGAATCTTACAATTTTAGAGACTTTAATATTTGAAGTGTGTCGTATATGCTCAAACAACTGTGTAGCGCCGTTTTCCGTTCGTCCGCATTTTGTAGCACTTTGTAAGCCAATCACATGGAGTGGTGTGTTTGCGCTGTCAGTATGGCAGCACTGGTCATTTGATAGTAATTGAAATAAATTGATTTTAATGAACTTAAATATTGTTTTGAACACTTTCTCTTCACTATTAACAATATATATAATTTTATCTCTTAAATTATGAATTATTAACCAACATCTGAACTTAGTTTTAGTTGTAATGTCAACTCTACATACTTCAGCTGCTGGATTTTTTCACTTTGTGTTGTGTACACACTTTTTTAGTTGCCGGTGCGTGCCGACCAATTTTGTTTAACTTTGTATTTATTGCTTTACATATTAAAGCAACAAATATGGCTGACGATGAGCAAGATGATCAAAAAGAGTATCGCTGGGAAACCGGCTACGAGAAGACTTGGTAAGCCAACTTGAATGTTATTGTTGCTTTTGTTGTTTTTGCTATTACCCCCAACTTGTACAACAGGGAAGCCATCAAGGAGGATGACGATGGGCTGCTGGACGGTGCCATTGCCGAGATTATACAAAAGGCCAAACGCAAGCGACAGGCGGATAAGATAAAACAAAATCGCCTGGGAATGATGCGGCACATGTTCATTGTCCTAGATTGTTCCGAGTCGATGAGCGTACCTGATCTGAAGCCTACGCGTTTACTATGCACACTCAAATTGCTAGAGATCTTCATTGAAGAGTTCTTCGATCAAAATCCCATCAGTCAGCTGGGCATTATAGCATTAAAAGCAAAGCGCGCCGAGAAGGTAACCGAGCTAACGGGCACTTCGCGTGTTCATCTCAAGGCATTGGCTGGGTAAGTAGCTAATCTGCCGTACCTCGAAGCAAGTACACTGGATTCCTTGATTATCCTGCCCTTTTGCAGCTTGGCGAATGTGTCGCTGACCAGCGAACCCTCACTGCAAAATGGCTTGGACTTGGCGCTAAAGACACTCAAAGTGGTCCCATCTCATGCCTCGCGCGAGATAGTCATAATCATGGGCTCGCTGACTACCTGTGATCCCGTGGATATCAATCAAACTATAGATGAGTTGAAAAGGGAGCGCATACGCTGTTCGGTTATATCGTTATCAGCTGAAATTCATATCTGTCGCTATTTGACACAACAAACAATGGGCACATTTGGTGCCGTGATGGATGATGCTCATTATCGTGATCAGCTTTTGGCGCAGGTGGATCCACCGCCAGCTGCCAAGACACAGGACAATTCACTTATACGCATGGGCTTTCCGCACAGCAAGAATGCGGTTGAGGGCAAGGATGCACCGCTATCCATGTGCATGTGCCACATTGAGAATCTCGATGAGCCCAGCGAGCTGTCCACCACCGGCCATCATTGTCCCCAATGCAACAGCAAGTATTGTGAGCTGCCCGTGGAATGCCAGTGTTGTGGCCTTACGCTGGTCTCTGCCCCGCATCTGGCACGCTCCTATCATCATCTGTTTCCAGTGCCCAACTTTGAGGAGCTGCCATTTGAGTCCGTGCCGCCGGCAGCGCCTGATTGTGGCAGCCTGCGCAAGTGCTATGGCTGCATTAAAGTACTTAACGCGCAGACTGACAAAAACGTCTTTAAGTGCGGCTACTGCAACCAGTTTTTCTGCATCGATTGTGATATATTCATACATGAGACGCTGCACGCCTGCGTTGGCTGCAATACCATTCCAGGCGTCGCCGGCTTAGTCTATCAAAAGCAGGGCGGCAAATCAGCCGTCGGCACCCATCAGCAGCAGCCACAGCAGCAGGCCCAAATGCTGCAGCCATCCACCTCCAAGCAGCGCAGTCAGTTCAACATGTAATCCTGGACCCTTAGCATGCAGCATGTGAACTAAATGCGGGCATTTGCATTCAACTGGCAGCTGTCGGGGTTGGGCGCAACTATGTTTACAAAAAAATAATTATATGTAGACTTAACTATTTTAAGACCTAAAGTTGCATTTACTTTGCATACAAGTTGTTGCTACCAAGTTTTTTTTATTTATGTATAAAATAAAAAAAAATGTATAAGAAACAAAATTTTACCCGACCTCCAATTGAGAGCGAGCAGTATAAAATAAGAGTTTGTTTATGGAGGAACAAATTTTTGTAACACTCAAAACGCATACAAAAAAGAAACTTTAGAATATGATTCTTGAAAATCGCATAGGAAGGCAATATCAGAGCGAGTATGCCAGTAAGAGAGTAAGAGAGAAAGGAACCTTTTTGCTCAAGTACATTTATCTCTTTTGTCAAATTTATGTTTTTTATAAGTTCAAATGAAAAATAGAGAAAGGATACATTAGTCACTTGTGTCATGAAAATCGCATAGATGACGGATCGTATTTAAGAAGGAAAAGTTGTGTTTCAAAAGTGGGAAAATAATATTTTCAGTTACTTTCTTTAATTTTGTAAATTCAAAGAACGCAAGTTCTTATGAATTTAATAAAAATGCAAATGTATTGTGATCCATTTAAAAAGATTTCCATTTTCTGAGATTTCTGTTTTACTTTGATGAGACACAATATCAGGTAAATATAAGAACGTACATCTCCTACATACAACTTTTTCCTTACGACGATCAGCAATGGAATTGATCAAGTTCTATGCCAATTTAACTTATAATCTTCAGGGTTTTTCCTCTCATATGTGTAAAATGCGAAATATTTTCAATTATTTGTAGAGCATTTCAGTTACGACCAGTTTCAATATTTTATTACATTTTACTATAACTACTTAATTATGAAAAGTTTTTTTGTTTTTTTTTTCGGTTTTTTTTGTTGCGTTTGTGAATGATCGTTGCCATTGTTGTAGCTATAATTGTTGTTGTCGTTCACAGTTAATTCTTGTCATTTGTTTCTATGTATTCAGCTTTTGAACTTGGCGAATCTTTTATTTGCGGCTCGCACGAGTTCAACGCCAACGTTCGCCGCACTCGGTCGCGTTTTAGATAAATATATTTTATATTTTGAGTCTCCCTTGTGTGTGTTGTGCAGGTGTTTTTCTTCTAACGCTTAATTTAGAATAATAACAGTTATAAATATCGACGCGAAGGTGTGTGAATTTTTGAGCAATTACCAGGTATGTGGAGTTGACTTTATAGCCTGGCATAGGGCATGTAGAATGTATCATAAGGTTGGTGTTACAAAATAAACAAATTATAAGAAAGTCTTTAAGATCATGTAAGTCCCCAAATTAATAGAATCGATTAGGTTTGAAATGGGATAAGATAAAATGATATAAAATCTTGTTTAAATGTAATAAATATATATGATAATATGAACTTACCCCAAAATTGTCATGCATTAATAAATTAATGAAATAATTAATTGTTATTGTATTGTATTTTATATATACACATCACTGAAAAAAGATCAAGAGAAATAATAAATAGATTGAGATATATATATGAATATATAAAATTAATAGAGAGAAAGATAAAGGTAACAAGATTATTAACACAACCTGTTAATGTTTATAATTAAATAATAAAGACTCTTATTTTAAACTTGCGTTACATGTAAACATGTATGTTACATGCATACATACATACATACATACATGCATACACACATTCATAACTAGAAAAATAATGTAAATGAAAATTGGTATAAGAGTGCATACAAAGCCCGTGCAGGATTCTATCTTAAAACCACTTTTCCCGTCCGTAAAACAAATGAGATCCTGCCCATCCTTCCCCATTTCTTTGAGCCCCATTTACAATCATCTTAACTGATTTTCGGAATCAGTTAAGCACGTTAACTATTAAAAAACTATATAGGTTCTTAGTTCAAACACGGAAATTTATGAGAGCACTTTATTTTGACTACTGTATTACCAGTTCGTACTGTTGTTAGGTTACTTATTTGATTATTTGTTTTGTTTACATACTGCGAAGCCATAAAATTATACGGCTTAAGCCGAACGTCAATGACACTGCCTGAAACGAGTTGTGAACTGGTTTTGGCTAAGCAAAACCGCAAAGCGTCATTCATAATTCGAGTATATAGAGCAGTCAAACAACACGAAGTAAAATAATTAATTGGACTAGAATTAATTGTTAAAATAATATAATATAAACTAATTATATATATTATACATATAGAGAAATACACATAGCGATCTACAAGTTAGCGACATACAAGATCTACAAGTCTTTCAAAAAACGTGTATCATTTGCGTAAGTATAGAAATGAATTTTTAAAGAAACCTTAAACTGATAAAGAACAGTCGAACTTAAATTTTGTGATGTTCTAAAATATGTCTTGGATAAGTTTAAAATCCTCACGGCTGAGTAATGCCTGGAAGAGTATAACATGTGACTGTAGGTAGATAAAAACAAATAACATTTGCTGTACAGAAGATTAATTGATTCTTCATTCTCCCAGTTACAAACACAGTCAACAACCTCTAAAGTGCGTTCGACTCTTAACCTCAAAATTCCGTATATCTGTTTCAATATTTGACTTGGCTCGGAATATAACACTTCCATATCAAAAATCTAGCGACTGAACTATGTCTGGCTGAGTGTAAATAGAATGCAAATAATAGTTACTGATTCTACATTCCTCTATATTATAAACGCCGTTAATAACCCTTAGAACCGGTTGTTAAATCGCGACATGCACCCCATATAACATGCATTAGTCAGACTTAATATTACGGCAATTACATATAGACTACCCCTGACACTTTCTACTGTGGACCTTGGGCCAATTCCGGTTGCCCACATGCAAAATGGAGGCATTTGGTTGAGAGATCTCTACATTTAGTCGCTGAATAAATAGGCACAATCCGCACAGTTAACTGCCAGACAGGTCAGCTCTATTCTAACTAATTACTGCAATAGCCAGCACAATGTGCTAGTTCTATACTTAGTCGTACCTCTTCCGCATTTGGGTTGCGGCACCTGTTTCTGATATGCAGCTGTGAATTATCTAATAAATAATACTTTGGACACTTGTACACTGAGAAAAGAGAGGCACTCTAATGGAACTAAAAAAAAAAAGAAATCTAAAAAGCACTTTTCCATTAATACTTATTTTAACTGAACTAGGGAGATATAAGATATTTCTTAATAAGAAATACTTTTAAAGCCGAGATATATATCTCGAAATTTTCTCTGAGTGTATATAATATATACTTTATTATAGAATTGAGCAGTTCAACAATAGGCAGCAACTAATTTAGGTAACAATTTGGTATAAATTTCCTTGGGCTTGTCGCAGTTGTTAAAAGTTTTCTCATCATTAGTGAAAATTGCATAGGCAAATTTTCACTTGAATATGAATGCGCAGTGTTTCTTTCCATTGGCTTGGCCCAAGGGCCGAAACTAACCAAAAATGTTCACCGTCTCATAATTTATGCCCGAGATGGGCTCAAAAGTGTGCCGTCTAATTTGCCAGCCAGGCCAACCAAAGGAACTTTTGATGCTGCAAAACTTTCGGCCGGCTAATCACTTGTTAAGTTATTTGTTGAGGCATCTACGGGTTGTGCTCCACCACAGAAAGGGAAAGGGCAAGGGAAAGGAATATGCTGCTTGGGGCCAACCCAAGTATTTTTGGCATGCTAGCTATGAGCTATTTCAGCACCCGACCCCCGCAACCCATTGATTCCTGCCCACATGTGCCAAGTTCGAGATATTCAAACAAATTGGCTGTGCATAATAATATACAGAAATTTATGTAATTTATAACAACTGATTAGATGGTGGGCATGGCTGCAAAAGTAGCCGGGAATTGCTACACAAATATTTAGTCCAATGTATTTCTTGTAAGCGTCCATTTGCTAGTTAATTAAAGATTCCTTTCTTGTATTTAACGAATCATCCAGACATAAGTCATAAAGAATTTGAATAAGAGTAAGAATCATTTAAGATTTGTACCACAAAGAGATCTGAAAACATAATCTATAGGCGTACACATTGGCTTATAAAGAAAAGACAATCCTAAGTAAAAAAGCAGAACAAATTTGTGTTTAATTCAACTAAACTCAATCTAAGGCCCTGAAATAGTTCTTAACCGGATCGAACTTAGCTAATTGCAATTTACGTTTGAGAACGAAACACGCAAAAAACAGTTCGACAACTGAGAAATAAGAAACGAGTGCTTCAACATTCACCAGTTGATGCAAAAATCCAATAAAACAATAAACAAGTTTTTTAGTGGAAGTTCATTAAGAAGTCAATTCATAAAAAAGGCTCGTGCATGAAGAAAAAGCCATATGAATTATAAAAATTAAGGAGTTTATTTTCGAGTGTCTGATGAAAATAAGTCTACGGCATGGAAGACTTATTAGCGTTTACTTCTGGGGCTGGGCCCCCGTTAAATTTAATTTCGCTAAACAAATCAATTAGTAAGACGCGAAAAAAAGGCGTTGCGTCCAATAAAATATCAATTAGCAGCTCAAAGGTAATTTTTAAGTTTAAAGGAAATCTCACTTTGAGTCGAGCTTAAAGAACATTAAGCTAAGAGTTAAGTGTGCCGCTTAATTATAACTTAATTGAAATAATTTGAGAAATATGTGAATAAAGTGAAGCTAACGATAAACAAATTAAAATGCCCAAGGTCCGTCAATTATTTCTATTAGTAACTAGTTTTCTCAGCAAAGAAGAAGCATTTTATTTTCCACATTTTTCTATATATCATAAAGCGATGTGAAACTTTGGAATGAATTGAATATATGTTAAAGCGATACGAAACTCGAAACATGTTTCAAAACTATATACATATAACTTTCAAATTGCGAAAATGAAACTTCATTTGAATGAAACAAACGAATAGAAATATAGATTAATTTAGGAAATATAGATTCTACAAGTTACCCTATAGCTATTTAGTTTCCTGCCAAGCATACCCTATAGCTGCTCTAGTTTTTGGCCAAGCATACCCTATAGCTACTTTAGTTTTATGCTGAGCATACCCTAAAGCTAAGCATACCCTATAGCTACTCTAGTTTCATGCTGGGCATACCCTATATCTAAGCACACTCTATAGCTACTCTTGTTTC